GGCGAGTAGTAGTGATGTGTTGGTTGCAAACGAAAAGGCTCTTAGAGCCGCCTCTTTGAAGTAAACGACGCAAGCCAGCTCTTTATTGAGAGCCGTGTTTTTTTTTGTTAGTTTTTCTCTTTCTCTCACCCTCTCTCTCGCACTTTTTTTCCACTTCACTCCGCATGCGAGCCTTGTGCTTTGTGCTGGGAAGAGGGGGGAGGGGTGGTAGTTACACTTTATTTTCATATTTTAATTTATATTTAATTGTGTTGTGGTTTGAAGTGTTTTGTGTTGTGTCACTTTAAATTTGTTTAAAAGGAAAAAGCTGAAAATTTAAAGGTTAAAAGTTGAAATGTAAATAGTTAGTTTTTGTATTATATGATTTATTTATTACATTTTATGTGGCGTGAATAAATAAAAGTATATTTATGGTGGCCCCTAGAGACAAAGCCCTCCGCGTACAAACTCCGAAGCGCGCACAAACTCCGAAACGCGTACAAAACACAACAAAAGTGCTCCAGGATGCTGGGTGCAGTGTTGAGCTTTTGTTACCTCGTGGCTACACAAGCCAGGAAGTACCAACGACCGGATTTGTTGTGTGGTAGTAACAGATAAATTATTATTATTTTTTTTTAATTATTTGAATATATATGAGTGCTTGTATATAAATACACAAACAATACACATATGCTTTCAATTGTGCAATTTAAGTGATCTAGGTAGCGAGTAGTGACTGTTGCCGAATGTAGCCTCTTATCTCTCTGTTGTTCTTCTTGTTTTCCATTCAGGTTGTCTAGAAGACTGACATGGTCCACAGGCATTGCATTTTCCACATGAGTTCTCTACATCACCAAACAGGAGAGCACAATATAGTGCACACATAGGGATGTATTATAAAGAATATTTGTAATATACCTTTGTATGCATGTGTTTATTTTGGAATGAATGGAATGAAAATACTGGGTTTCATTGTATAACTTGAATAACTACGAAATAATTGTTCATCAAGTACTGACAGAACTATTCAGACGTTTTACTTTTTTAAAGTGATTTATTGTAACAACAGTACAAAAATATCGGCAATCAAAATAGTCAAAGAACTCGTGCTGCAGAAACATATATACATTAATTTATCGGACGATAATTGATTAATTAACATGGATTTTGCTTTAATGATGCAGTTAGAGATTGTTTTACTTTAATTCTACACTGATAGCGGAGTTTGATTTAACACAGTGATACAGCCAAAAATACCACAAGCTTTAAAATAAATGGTATGCTGTATAATACAAAATATTTGTACTTAGTGGCCTGAGGTTGCAATCAAATTTCAGTGGGTTGGTGCCACCTCATGCCCACAGCATGGACACACCCCTGGCCACATTATAACCCAGCATAAGGAAATCATTTTAGTTCTTCAGTAAAAGCACTTCCTCCACCACATTCTGCTTTAATAATATTGGGGGGGTGAAAGGAATAGGACAGAGGAAGGAAAAGAAAAATGATAAAGGAAGGAAATGGGAAGAGAGATTGGAGAATTAATGGAAAGGTGCATGTAGAGTAGGAGGAACATAGCAGGAAGGAACGGGGGGAAATGAGAAGAATTCCCTTTGGAATAACTGCGGGCGAAGATGGAGAGACAGATGAGGAGGTACGCTCTTAAAAAAATGAGATCATTTACCATCCACTGTCACTTCTCATCAAGCTTTCATCTATCAGACGTGCTTCCACATGTAAACTTTATCACATGATCGTACATCAAACCCAGACCGACCGGGCTGAAGACAACCCGCCATCATTAAAACAAAAAATCCTGCGATAACACACGATCATTAAGCTAAGGTTACTTCCTGTTACCTTCATTAGATACAAAAATTAGGCAAAATGACTGACAAGGGAGTGTAATTATAGACTTCTATTAATTTATTTGAAGTGTTTTCTTTGCCTACTATCATTTATATGTCGACTATAAGCTATTTTTGAAAATTACGACAGTATTTCCCCAGAGAAATTATAAAAAGGGAGAGAGATGGTAGTTCAATAATCTCGTACAGAAATATGTAAAGAAAATCTGAAACATATATATCTAAACGGCAGCTACTCCACCCGGAGTCGTTGACTCATTTTTATAGTAAAGATCTGCACAAGTCAGTGTTTTTACTGAGACAAGGTCTCCGTTTTACAGATGTTTTTATTACTTTTTAATTACTATTTGGTAAAACAGATTGGGCAGTCTTGTAGGAAAAGCCAGTAATATCTCAGAGAGGAGACAGTCTGTGCTTTGGGTCATTTATAACAGGCATGTCCTTAGGAAGGCTAATGACATACTGGACTGTCTGAATCATCCACTCCACGGGGAGTGTGAGCTATTGCCCACAGGCCATCATGTAAAACACCACATGTCTCTTTTTTATTCTGAGGACTACTGATACACTTAACGGCAAGTTACACTCTGACCATATTTCTGCTGCTACTGTGGCATGTGTGCACTTTCTTTGTGTTTATGCTAAATTTTAACAGTTTACACGTAACCCCTGGTGTTATATTACAAATAACCTTGAACATTAAAATGGAATTTATTCAGTGGTGGGATGAGCAGAGAAAGCGATCGTGTAGCCTGTGTGGAGGCTGAGTGTGCATTACCAGGCTGGATGTGGAGCTTCATAAATCTTATTTTGGAGTGAATTCACCAAACCTTCTAACTGCCTTGTAATGGCTTTAACAGTTGACACTATATATCATATGAATGTTCCTTTGTTGATCAAAAGGAAAGTTTCATGTATGTAAGGGCCTGAAAATAAGTGCCCTTGCTTCTAGGAGGACTTTTGTTTCCCCAAGATTGACCGCTGCAAGGGGCTGGGGGGCAAAGGATCTTTGATGGCAGGATCAAAACCACAGCCACCAAAAATCAAACAAACAAACAAACAGGATGTACAAGTTAGAGTAACAATGTCACTGCATCTCTACTGCAATGGTAATCCTGTCTGAAAGCAGTCTTAGACCGTGCTTTTATTTTGAAGATTCAATTGTCTGCATGAAGAATGTTAGAATAGCAGGAATGTGTGTGTGTGTGTGTGTGTGTGTGTGTGTGTGTGTGTGTGTGTGTTTCTCTTGTTGCACTAAATGGCCAATTTCCACTGGGAATAGTAACTTAATTAAATACAGACAGAGACACACACACATACTGACCATCTGTATGTAAGTGTTGTGCTGTTGTCTGCCATAGTAGCGGTATGTTACTGCATGATAAGTGTGTGTGTGTGTGTGTGTGTGTGTGTGCGCGCGCGAGGTGTCTTTAGGGCAGCCTCGCCGACAGGAAGACAGATGAAGGACAGGAAATGAGCGCGAGCAGACGGACAACAGTTGGTTTGTGTGTGTGTGTGTGTGTGTGTGTGTGTGTGTGTGTGTGTGTGTGTGTGTGTGTGTGTGTGTGAGAGAGAGAGAAAAGGCGAGTGTCATCTCACTAAAGGACAATAATCAATCTGTGGAGTCTGTGTGTTCTTGTATGTCTAGTTTTGTGAGGACAGATTAGATTTGATGTTTGGATATGGGAATAACTTCAGTGAGGGACCTCACAGAGATAGTTTTGCAAACATATGTGAGTACATGTTTGTGTGCATGAACTAGAGTTAATGAACAGTGAGCGTTTTTAAGGTCCTTGAAATACTTGGCAAATGTAGAGTTTTTTGAAAGGTATTTCAGGGAAGCAGACATTTGTGAACGCTCCTTTTAAAAAAAAAAATGTGGGCATTTTAGAAAAATAGCAAAACCTTGGAAAAGTGTAGAGCTATTGGGAAGTGTGGATGGTACTGGAAAAAACTGGAAAATAAAAAAAAATGAACAATTTTAGGAAAATTGTTCAAATATTTTCAGAAAGTGGAGATTTGGGGAAAGTATGGACGTTTTGGTAACTTGGTGACTTTTTTGTGAACTGTGGATATTTCAGAAATGTCTGGATACTTCTTGAGAAAGAATCGGTATCTTTGAGGAAAATGTGGACATTTCAGGAAAGATTTAGAACATTCTCAATTCTCTTAGATAAACTTTTGAAAGGCAAATAAAAAAGCAAGAAAACTGTTGGAGGCACGTGTAGGCAATTATAGGAAATAAGGACATTTTTGGGGGCAGTTTGGACCTTTATGGTAACATGGGGATATTTATAAAGTTTGGGGACTGTAGGATTGTGTAGATATTATGGTAAACTTGGAACATATTTTGGGGTTTTTTCTGGGAAAAGATGGACACTTATGAGAAGTGAAAACCTGCCAAGAAAATATGGGCATTGAAGGAATTGTGGCTAATATGGGCGCATGGATATTTCAGAAAAGTGTGGATATGATTTTGGGGGATTTCAGGAAATTAGGAGCACTGTTAGGTTTACATGAAGTTTGTAAAAGAAAGGACTTTTTTTGGACAAAGTTGAAAGATTTCAGAAATAAATTTGTTTTGCTTTGGAAATTGAAAGGAGGAACATTTTGTGAGAAAATGTCCACTTTTTTAGCAAATGTGGATATTTTGGGAAAGTGAGGACATTTTCAAGAGGAAAAGAAATATTTTGGAGAAGCGGTAATTTTCTGGGAATGTGTTTTAGAAAGTCTGACTATCTGTGAAGTGCGATTTTATCTATCTTCACAAATTTCAGGAGCTATTTACTGTTCAAGTCTCGGGATCTGATCAGTTTATAACCAGATTAGGGTCAAGAGCTGGGGACACTGATGGTCCTCACACTGACAGAAAGACCAACATGAGTGTGTGTGTGTGTGTTAATTCAATCCCAGTCAGACACATCAATACTGGCTCTCCTGAAGCGTGACCTTTGAACTCTGGAGGTTCACCATCATCATTCTAGACATACACACACACTAGACTGTGTGTGTGTGTGTGTGTTTGCTGATGCTGCAGATGTGTCAGAGTCACCTTCAGCTGAACACATGTTAGCTTGTTTTATACTCTCCTCTCTCTCTCACTTGGCTGCATAATGAGGAGCAGTGCATGCTGGGTCATGTAGTGTATCTTACCGAGGTGTTCTGACACTGAATGCAGGAGGAGTTGAAGCGGACGGCGGGGATGCGCTGCACTTTTCCCTGGATGTTAAACACGCACTCGTAGTTTTTCTGACCGGACTGAGGTTGGGGAAGGTTACGAGCTCTCAGCGTGATTGGACGAACCATCCCGGCTGGAACCAGGATGTCAGAGGTAGGGATTATCTGAGGACAACCCTGCAGAGAGGGGGAAAGAGGGAGGTGGGTTAGTACACAATCATTTATCATTTATGACAGGCGAATGGAAATCAGCCCGGTGTATGATGATATATGTCATTATTAGAGAGAACCGTTTCTATTTTATTCACTGTAAACTATTGATCTGAGTCAGCATATGTCACTGTTTACAGGTACAATAACATGTTGCTCACTTTAAATACATCTGTTTTTAAAGTTTCCTCACTTTACTTTTTCACAAATGCTCATTTCTTTTCACAAAAGTACACTTTCTAAAAATGTCCCGACTTTTGAAAAGTGCAAAATGTGTTCAAAATATTAATAAAAAAAAAATCATTTTTCAAAATGTTCCTGTTCTCATTTTATACACGTTAACAAAATATCACTTTCTCTCTCTCTTTCAGAAAAAAATTTCTCTAATGTCCATGAATGTGCCCATAATCCAAAAGTGTCCATATTTATTCTTGCAGTTGAAATTTGGACTCCCAAACACAGAAATACATCATCTTTCTCTCTCTCACACTCACACACACACACACACAGCCGACAAAGGCAGATAGCTTATCTAACAATCTGTCATCACTGAGTGGGGACAGAGACACTGTAACAGTGAGTTTGTCTGTGAGGTCAGTAATGGACAGCTGGTGACAGATCCAAACTTCCTGCGGCTGCTTGAAACACACCCCCACACAGTGTACACACAAACACACCCACACCCACACACACACAGAATCTCTCAGTAGGGTGAAAGCTTTATTAACGGCCGTCACTACGGTAATTAATTGTCTTGTGAATGACAGGAAGACCATTAGCTCCACAGGAAGTGGACCAAAGCGCAGCGGTCGCCAGCAGCTACCGTGGAGACTGTGTGTGTGTGTGTGTGTGTGTGTGTGTGTGTGTGTGTGTGTTTGGGATAAAGGCCAAGTGTGGCTGTGTGTCTCTCAGCAAACCCTCGACATTTAACCAAGCACATCAGCCATCGGCTGCACTAGAAATACCCAAACGAGCACAACGGCCCAGACACACCATCACACCGACGCATCAAACAAACTTTATTTATTAAGCAGATTTCATGTGGAAGACTTGATGTTTCCACACATGTGATTATATGATCCATTGTGATGCTTAGATCAGTGATTTGTAGGTTTGGAATTAAACATTTATTACCAGGAAACAGCAGGAAAATCGAATCAAAGATTCCTCTTCCAGGAACACCTGTCCCTCTGACACACAGGATCTGTCCCAGCAGCAGCAGAAAGGCTGCAACTGTTTCCACCTTATGAGTGTTTGAGCTTTTCATCATGGTGAAATGTGGCCCTGGAGTCCACTGCTGCAGCACGAACTACAGCCGAGGCTATTCTGAACGCTCTGCCATATGTTTATATGTCTGTATGCAGATTTTCAATCATAAAACCTTTAAAAGTGCGGAGCTGAGATCAAAATTAAGGCTCATGTTAAGGAAGCGTGTGAGTACTGAGTGCTACTGAGTCCCAGATATACATGTAATGTTTTTGCAACCCGATATATGGGGTATTTATCGGGTGTATTACAATTGTTTTGGTTTTTTTTCCAGTGACGGTGTTTCTGTTATCAGTTTGTAAATTGGTCTCCAGCTTTTCTTATGATATTGCTTTGACCAAATTCAGCTTGGATCCTTTTTACTGTCAGTGATTGATGAAAACTGTGAGGTGAGAGTTTGACTGAAGTGGAGCGTGCTGCACAAGTCTGAGAGAAAGTTTGTTACTCTTACCTGCGCTTAGGCTACAATTCATCGTAGTTACAGCTTTACCATTTAAATGTTTAGAACGTTTTACTTTCATGGGATTAAAAACCGCCAAACACGCCATTTTGGAAAGCAAACGCTGACACAGACTCACATGAGCTTTTCAACATTTTCTATGACATTGTACAGACTGTTCCAGAGGAGGAACATATTTACATATTAAACATAAAAAAGGTATGTCCCAATTCGAAGGCTGCTCCAAATGC